AATGTTATGAAATATTTCGGTATTAAGTTGTCGCTTTACGTAGTAAAGCCATGCTGCTGCTATTCTAGTAGTATAGTTGTAGAACGAATGAGTCGGCTCGACCGGGGAAAGACCGCGCTCTTACAGAATACCAGCGTCAAATAGTAGCTTAAAGCTGCTGTTTCGTATGGTGAGTGGATAGAACCGGGGATCCTTTTTTACTGGAAACGAGGCATTCTATTTTAGTCCTCACGGACAACGCATCTGCATTTTGATTCGTAATCGAGGTTAGGTGTTTATATGTTGTTTGTCACCTTATCCTATAAAAAATATTACTTTACGCTAGCGATATGCCGTGGCCTTGCCTGGGTGTTATGTCATTTATGTCATAGTACATATCAAGATATCAACCCTTTATTTCATCAATTTTAGGAGATCAATCCTGGTATTGCTCCATATCTGTTTATGAAGATTCATCATATTTGGTTTAGCCATTCCAGATCAGCCTGGACAGACAGCCTGAAAGATAGACAAAACCTTTAAAATAACCTCTCTGAGCATACATTTTATTATTATAGAATAAGGGTGACAAACGAGCAGACAGTCCACCTGCTGGTAAGTGGTTGCTGTGGCCCATAGACATCTATTATTTTCGATTAAGAATAAAAACACAGATGCTTTGTCACCCCTGATGATTAAGATGGAATGTGTTTCCAGTAAAAAAGGGTCTGCGGATCTCTACACTCACCATACGAAACACAGCAGTATAAAAATGCTAATTTTCGCTGGTATTCTGTGAGAGCGTGGTCTTACACGTCGAGGCGAACCACTTGTGCCACAACCACGTTTAAAAATTACCATATCAATTGTTGACACGCTCTCAATATCTCATTTAATTGAACTGACAATGTTTTACGAATAGAGACATTTAATGGATGATTCATCAAAAACTGCGCCTGGCACTGGCACTGGTATGTTGCTATTTATTATATGGGTATTTAGGTAAGTATTTATTGGTATATATAGTTGTTGGTACAATTTGTAGATGTGACTAAATTAGGTACCGCAAAGATTTGAGCGAATTAATAATACCATCGGTTATGTGGCGATAAAATTTATGCTAATACAATAAATTAACAGGTAATAGAATATAATATTTATAGATTAATACGTTAATTTTCAGTAAGTCAATAGTGTTTTACGTCTAGTTATGAAAATAAATCTGAGAAGAACTCGCAAAACCCTAGAAGGAAGAAAAATATAAAAATTAACTACATATATTGTACGATTGTAAATATATATATAAGAAAACCGTGGTAGCTCAGAAGAGCCGTGGTAGCTCAGAAGAGCCGTGGTAGCTCAGATGGTTAGTACTCGCTGTAAAATTTCGTAATACGCGAGCAACCTGGGATCGATGGGAGCAACCTGGGTTCCCGCCGGCACCCATGAAAATGTTAATTGCAATTTTAAGTACTGATTTACCACGTGCTCGGTGGTGAAGAAAAACCTCTTGAGGAAACGTGCATGTCTGAGAAATAAGAAAAAACAATATTTCGAAGACATATAAAGTTCGCCAACACACATTGTGGCATCGCGGCGGACACTTCCTTGCCCTGAAACCCTTTCAGAAATAAGAGGAGCCCTGCAGTGGAACGTATGTAGGCTGTAACTTTATACGATGTACATAGAAGTAGATATATGCATATAAATAAAATTTATGTGTCTGACTATAATATACGTGGTAGACCCATGCTGCAGCAATATTGTGGTTGCAGCACGAATGGGTCGGCTCGACCGAGGAAGGACCACGCTCTCACAGAATACCAGCGTAAAGTAGCAGCTTAATACTGCTGTGTTTCATACGGTGAGTGTAGAGAAATGGAGTCCCTTTTTACTGGAAACGAGGCATTGAATCTTAGTCCTCAGTGGTGACAACGCATCTGCATTTTGATTTCTGATCGAGGATGAATGTAGATGTCTATGGGCCATAGAATCCACTTACTATCAGGTGGAGTGTGTGCTCGTTTGTCACCTTTATTTTACAAAAATAAATCTCATCACTTCTACGTATTAGAGCTACGATGCAGGTGAAGCATATAATGGCTGTAGCTCGATCGGTCGGTTCGACCGGGGAAACACCATTTTCGCACCAACCCAAGCTCGACAGCGGAAGCATCAACTTTGCGCCGGATACCAGCGTGAAACAGCAGCCTAACATTGCTGAGAGGGATCATGTTTCTGCGAACAAGACTCTCTTCCCCGGTCACAAAAGGGGATGTTTCTGCGAACAAGACATCTCTAGTCTAAGGCCCGGTTTCCACTAAAGCAGAGAGGAGAGGAGATGAGAGGATATGTGCTGCAAAGCTGACAGGTTATTTTCACCAATGCGGAAAGGAGAAGTGTAGCGGAGAGGAGATGTAAGCTTTGTATAGCAGATATGTGAGCTGTGAGAGATCGAAACCAATCAAGTTCTGTCTACGAAAGGAAGATGTCATATCGTTAGGTTGTGTCTGAATTTGCTTGACGAAGAGGAATTAGAGGTTAAAGAAACACAAATAATTAATTCTTCAATGGTTTCATACCCAGGATCTATGTTGCCGTCGAATGGCAACATAGATTCTGGGTATGAAACCATATAAAATGTCACAGTCATGGCGAACATGCCATACTGTTTCAAGAGTTTGATGATGAGTTTTCAAAAATCTTTTAAGGTAACAATGAATACTTTTTACGCCGCCCGGCCGACCGTCTAGACACTTCTTCGCTTAACTGCGCCTCTTGTTCGCTCGCCGCATAAAATGCTATAGAAAAATGGGATATCTCTTCTCCTCTTCGCTTGATTTATTTCCACCGAAGCTAAGCGGAGAAGAGATGTGGAAATATCGAAATCAGATTGGTTTATTCAAACACATCTCCTCTCGTATACATAATAAGATATTAACTATATCGTAGTTCTTTATTAGTGATCGATGATCGTAGTATAGTGTAGTGTAATTAAGGTTACCACCTTTTTTTAACAAATATAGTATTTTCTCCTAAAAATTTCCAAAATATAGTACTTTTGAGGAATTCGTGAAAAAAGTAAACAATTATTTTAAACTTTAATTATTTTTCATACATAGTTGTTACTGCTTTTCGCTTTGGTCATCAATGATTTATTACCCTTAAAATAATTATAGGAATCTGAGCAATTTAGATTCATATTAAAATAAATTAAGAATTCATTTTTAATTAAATTAATATATGCTCTATTTTTTTCTTATTTCCATTTAACACTTATAATGGAAAAATTCTTTCCGTAAAACTTACTTGTGTGAGACTTACAATCACTGTTAATATAAAAAGAGAGACAGTTGAATTAGGGATAAAAACATACTATTTTTCGTACTATGTCATTTTTCTATAATATATAGTATAATTGACTGAAATATAGTACGATACTATATATTATGGCACGGGTGGCAACCCTAAGTGTAATGTAGTTTACTTCTTCTTCATCTTCAGCCCGTAAAATAATACTGCTGGATAAGAGTATCTCCCGTTGCTGGAAGGGTATGCCTTAATCAAAAGGCAAGCAGGATGGTAAATGGGTTGAAGTTCACAGTACCATACCTTTCGCACCTTTGACGATACTGTGGCTATCGGCTGGGTATTTTACAGCTGACATAAACAAGATGGGATACCGCCATCTATCAGAAGGATGAGGCGAAATGGGGTAGTGTATGTGTGCAAGGGCGAAAATGCCATTTCCGACGCCAGCACACAGCAACGTTTGGGACCGAGGAATATTGGGATGAACGTGCTCTGAACGGTAAGCATTTGGTTAACTACCAACGAGCTCAGTTCTAAGTTCAGTTAAAAAGCTGTCTCACGTGATGCTCAGAGTAATTTCTTATTAAGGGGACGTATGTAAATGAAATGATGTTGAAATTTCGTCCGATATCATCACGAGTCATGAATATAACGGGAACCTCCTCCTTTAGGAATTGTTACAAGAAAACAATAGCATGGGCGTCTAAGCAATTTATGCAGGAATTATCCCATCATACATTCTTTCGTAATTTTATTATGGCATGAACAAACTGACATAGGTATAAGAAGTAAAATTTTAGTTGCAAATCTTTGTCACTGCTTAAATATTACAGTGTATGAATACCAGCGTAAAATTATAGCATAATGATGCTATGTTTTCTGCGATCAGTACTAAAAACAGACAGTAGTTTTACTGGTTAAGGCGACACCGTGAAAAAATGCACCTCCTTTCATAGAATAGTATAGGACTATGACACCACTAACGAAAGTGGGATTTTGATATAGGTAAATTCATGTCTTTATCTTGAATTTGATTGCTCAAAAACACGATTGTATAATTTTGACTCGATCATAATTATTTGCGAAAACACCTCCTAAAAATCACTATAGTTGAAATTACAACGAAATCATTTGATATATATGCTTGGGAATCACTCAAATATATTCATAACATCAATATTCATAATTTACTTGCTCATTATTTTGATAACTGAAATCAATAAGATTTTTTTAAAAAATATTTTAAGATTCTGACAATTTCTAAGCGTTTTAATCGTCGCGGGCGCTACGCAATTTTAGAACTTATGACGGCGTTTCTTCAAGTTTTTATAGAAATTATGTAATCAGTATGGCGAAAGCGTTTTCGATGTGTCGTCTTAAAACATTATATATTATATAGGTGGTAGAGCAATGCCATGCTGCGACTATGTATTTGTCGCAAGAATAGGTCGGCTCATCTGGGAAAGGACCAACCTTTCACGGAATACCAGCGTAAAATAGCGGCTTGATACTGCTGTGTTTTGTATGATGAGTATAGTCAACTAGGGACCCTTTTTACTGGAAACGAGACAGTCTATCTTAGTCCTCATATTTTTAATCGAGTATAGATTTAGATATCTATGAGTCAAAGCACCCATTTACCAACAAATGAAGTTTGCCGCCCTTATTCTATACAATTATTAAAGGAGTGTAAAAAAGATAGAACTTACATTTGCGTAGTGGAACCCGCACGCGTCCATACAGAGGTAGAGGCAGGTGGAGACCCCCTGGATCGTCAGGAGGCCGACCTTGTACGTCGCACGCTGAAGTATCGCTGAAACAAAACGCATTGTGTAATTAATTTTTATTTATATGCACCACTATTACAATTTATTTCTAAAGTTCTTCAGGACTTTAAGGAATGATGTATTGAAACAGAAACAGAAACTTTTTTATTCAATGTAGATTATAAACAACACTTATTCAGTCAATTTTTTCATTTACCACTGGTTCACAAAAAAAAAACCTCCGTTCTGGGAAAAACCAGCAAGAAACCCAGCGGGACTTTTTTTTCCAAATAATAGCTTACAATCATGTTTACAATTAACAACACAAAACAAATTAAAAATAGCTTGGTAGCGATCACCCTTCCCAGGGGTTATTATCATCCATAAATTCCTTAATATTATAATAACCCTTTTTATACAAACTTAGTTTAATAAAATTTTTGAACTTTGTATATGTGACAAATTTTGTATATTTTCTGGGATTTTGTTGTAAAAGCGTAAATATCGCCCCAAGAATGAATTACTGACTCGGTGGAGTCGAATAACTGTATGTAAGATATTTAAACGAAGAATAAGTTGGTTTTTAGTGACGAAGTTATTTTTTGAGTTGTTTTAATTCCGTTTAGTAGGACAGCCAAAAAATATAAACAATATTATTATGTGTAATACATATAAAATTATAAATTTCAATTTTGGTTTTAACGTAATATGACTTAACTCATATTGCTTTTAAATCGTATTTAAATAACTTAATCGGTGTGTCAATTACTTAGGTGTTGAATCCTGCGAGTGATACAGAATTTTTGTACTGGAATCGGATGTCCAAGTCCTTAGGGATAACATCGCATCTGTATTTTAATAACTAATTAAGAATGGATCACCATCAGGTGACTATGAAAACGTTTGTCACACTTTTTCTGCAAAAAAATATCTGTAGAAATACTGAAAAGTCAATATGCTTTATTTATCATTGAACGCTTACAAAAGACCTTCGCTTGTATATACTATGCAGACATAGAGTACAGATGACAGTAAATCGAAGCAATAACGCAAATATATGATAGCAAGCTTAAACTTTTGTTTCCGTCACATAAAACATTCTGTAAAAGGGTATGGTCTAGCTACGAGTATCATTTGTCTTTCAGCAATCAGGGACACTAACATTATTCAGTCCGACGATTCGTTACTACGTCTCATTCATGACTACGTTCAGTATGTCCGATCTAAAACAGTTAAAACGATATTAAAATAAACATTTCGCATCGTAGTGGAAATAAACATTTTGAGTGTACCGTTTTACGGCTTGTACTTTCTGTATGAATGGTTCATAAACACACCACGTTATGGGGAACGGATTGAAAGAACGAATAAAACATAATGTTCTTGTTGTATGTATGTAAAATCAAATAGTATTCCGACGTATATCGGAATACGACGTAAGAACTAATCAGCGAAGAATTAAGAAGGTTAAGCTGTTGGTTGAAAAAAAAAAACGGATATGGCGTCATCTATGAATACCTTTTTCAGAATTATTTCGGAGGACATTGGTTTACTAATATTGAATCTAAGTTTACTTGATCATTCGTCATCATCATTACAGCCCTACTCAAGTCCATTGTTGATTGCCCACAAAGCTGGCAAATTAAAGCCGCCTGCATAAATCGATTTTGCATTAATGAAACGATCATTAGAAAATTAAACTAAAATGTTTTGTTTAACTATCCATTTTTTCCCCAAAATCTTTTTATTTATTGTTTCCATCTCAGTCCTCAGAAGTGACAACGCAATTTCATTTTAATTTATAATCCAGGAAAGGCCAAAGACTATAATAATTATCGATAGGTGCAAATTTTTTTGGGTAATACCATCCACATTGTAGTAGGTAGGCTGCATAGTCGCTTTGCCTTTACTGGTAAAAAGATAAAAAAATAAAAAAATATATTGCCAATGTAATATATTTTAGTTTTTAGATTTTATTAACTAGAAGAAAAACCAAATCATTTTGCTGTAATGCTTCCATAATTACGTCTAGACATCAACATCACTGCAAAAGTGCATGGTGTTTCTAATAACACTAAAGGCAAATTATTTTATAGCTTCACGCCACAGAAGGCACTAGTAACAATGACCACGCTCCAGGAAGACATTTCCCCTATAATAGTTGAACTGAATTCACCATTTGAGTCTTAGCCATAAAGAGTCATATTTATGTTTCTACTGGCGCCATGTCTGTTCTACATGTCTTAAAACTGTTTTGAAAGGCAAAGGTATGAGTATCGATCAGTAAGGTAAGAGCTATACATTCAAAAGCAAAGTGATTTTTTCATTCAAATGCACATTTGAATTAACGGTTGTTCTTTCATTGAAAATAAAATCACGAACGTATTTAATTTAATTATTAAATTAACAATCGTAATTTTTTTTAAATTCAATACCGAAAACGCGAAAATTAATAAACTTTTAAAATTAAAAAAAAATTAAAGGTCCTTCTTCAAAAATTTAAGCAAAATTATAACTTTGTCCATTGCTTTCTAATAAAATTGAATGTAAATTGTAGGCTCAAACATCGTTTAAGCGTATTATGAATGTAGTAGATTCTTATTTAATTGTATTTTGGCTTTATGTCGACAATGTCTTAGCCCTGTCTGTAAACGAAAGGAGGCATTTCCTCGAACTGGTTTTCGAACATCGAACGACACGTAATGTGTAATCGAACTCAAGTTCAAACGAGAATAAATATACATCCAACGAAATAAAACAGGGCACGTTTACTTTCATCGGATTTCGATTTGAGTTCAAGTTCGTACGAGCATTACGTTGATTAAAGCCGCGAATACACTCTTTATTGGTATTACGAACGTCAATATTTTAATTGCGTCATTTAAGGTCAAATTTTATTAGAATTCTATTTAAGGTTATTTCTTTTAGGTTTAAACTTGTCTAAAGCATACGGTGGTTGGTGGACCTGTGCTAGGCCTGGAAATACCGATGTGTTCCGAGAAGTCATCATACAATTCTTCCACAAGTATAAAAAAGTGTACAAACATTATTGGAGACGATGAGAGTGTTGGTACATTAAAGTAAGGGGTGCTAATTTACGCTGCACATTAATTTTTACATGTTTTATCAACCTTACCATAATTGCATGCCATATGCGCAAAGCGCGTAAGTATGTTAATGTAAGAAAATACGAAATTTTTGGGCGTATTTTTTTAAAAGCCTGTGTTCCGCTGTGAACTTAAGAAGGACATACTCGGAAGTTACTTGACAATCATTGTGTATACTGTATTTGACAAAAGAATAAATTTATGTCAGAAACTTGCCTTTACTTTTGATTTAGGCAATGTATTCGCGCCCTTATTGAATAAGATGGCGCTCTGTCGGCGCCCAGAGCGGTACAAGAGCACGACGTGATGACAACAATTTTTATTTCCATTTACGGATTTGTTGAATTATGTTAAACATTCTGGGTATGCTTAGATAGTTAACAACAAAGGTAGTTTACGGTTCCACCAGTATGATTTACGAGAGGATCAACGATTCCTACCTATAGTTCTTGCAATTTACGAGTGCAGTCGACGTTCGACCGAAGGTCGACCGCACTCGTAATTCGAAGATCGACCTGGTTCGACATGTACAATACATGCACAGTTTGAAAGTGTGCGTGCCTGGCGGAGTGGTCAGTTGCGAGCGGACGCCAGTTCCGCCAAGCACGCACACTGTTACACTCTGCATGTACATGTCGGAACACATCCAGAGTTTGACCGCACTCGTGAATTGTAAGAACTATACAATATTAAAGTACCTTAGGCGCTGTATTTAAAAAAAAGAGAAAACTAACGAGGGTAAGGCTCTCCTCTCCTGGTGATGAATGATCATCGCTGCCCATGAAAAACTACCAACCCTCGAGAAATAATAGGGTGTTACCGATGTTTTTGCCAGCCCAATATAATCCAGTAATTAAGTCCTAATCTATCCAAAGTAACAGTTTCAACTTGTGATGTATTCTCTTATATGCACGTATCCTAATATCAGCGAAAAAGAGCTGCACCTTAGTCGATAAGCACATCTATCGGTGACTAGTGTTAATTCTAGTTAAGGAGCTGTGAATGAAGGCGCTTGTGCAATTTGCCGACACCTGCAGTGAGTGCCCGACATTAATGGGAGCTCATTGTCGCATAGTGATGTACATCTAACGCCTGTTGACCTATCGATACATTTTATTTATCCTAGATAAATAATATATATATATATATATATATATATATATATATATATATATATATATATATATATATATATCATGGATAAACTAGCATTACGAATGATTTTTTTTAAAGAATAAGGGTGACAAACGAGCACACAGGCACAGACCACCTGATAGTAAGTGGATGTTATGGCTAACAGACATCTACATCTATATGGATTAAGGGCGTATATATCCATCCTAAAATCAAAATTAAAAATCATAAAGTCCACTGCTGAACATAGGCCTCCCCCATAGATTGTCTCATAGGGGGGACTTTGCCATAGTTGCCACGCCTGGCGAGCGGGTTGGTAACCGCAGTTTTTTATTATTTTGAGCTGTTATCATAAAGATGCTGCTGCCTCCTATTTCAATTTCCCTCTGTCGCTTCTTACGACACCCACGGAACGATATGGGGGTAGTTGCTATCCTTACATAGCCACTACACGGCATCGTTATATATATATATATATATATATATATATATATATATATATATATATATTCTATTAAATGTATTTATTAATATAGAAATATCGATAGTTATGTGTAAATCAGTTAGCTTAGCTAATACTTAGCACATCCGTGTAGTTCCCCAAGCAAAACTCGTCACAAGACGACGCAAATAACACTTATCACACGAGCTAAGTGAAAATAGAATAGTGTTTAGAAGACAACTTAATTTGAAGTAGGTGTCGTTACATCTAGCATTACAGCCTAGACGTGGCTTAAGTGATGTTTATAATAGAAGAACCCATAATAGAGCTCTCCCCTAGTGTTGGAGATGTTGAAGAAATTGTGCGGGGTCATTTGCTAA